CATATTGAAATTATCATCAAACAAGGGCCTCATTGTCTCTAACCAAAACTCCGTTTCACATTCCGTTCAAATTTTGCCAAGCTGTCTGATTTGCATGTTCTAATACGGCTTAGCTTATTGATTATTACGACAGTAGCTCCATTCTCTTTTTGTATTCTAAATACAATTTCAGTAGACCATAACTATATTATTTTTATTGGATGTTTTGAGTTGAATGAAGACCTTCCTTTCTCACCCAGAGAATTTGTATGAACACCAACCATGGTCATTTAAGTGCAACTGAGGCAATCATGTATATCAAATGAATAAATAAGAAAAAGAAACGAATCCGAATGAAGAAACGAACTAACGGAGATGTGGCGAGGGGCTAGAGGTGGAAAAAATCGTCTATCATGAGAGAGCTACACTTAACAGGTAGCCTCATCAAGTACACCATCTAGAATTTGGAGGGTGACACTTGTGATAGGTCCGATTTTGTAACACTCGATATCATCCGTGGAGGAACAGAACATCTTCTTCCGGGTCCTTGAAAACACCGGAAACAATCAGCAAATGCATTCCACTCTCGATACAAGTATACATTATCGCCTCTGTCTATCTCCAATATACGTGACTGTGTGCATATTTTCTTCCTCGTCTAAAGCCAAACTATTCTTTGAATGACTGTGTTGACTGTAATAGGCACGTGAACTCCATCAGAGAAATGATTCTGGATAGATTATGCTAAACAGTGCTATCTGCTTCTTCAAGCACAATTACGCTGAGAAGAAATAAAACAACTGATTTAGAAATACCTTATTGCCTCTTCAGTCCGTACTTCTTGTAGTAGTGTGCATTGGAACTCAGTTGAAAACACCCTATATGGCCTTGTTGTCCGCCATGCATTCCTTGGTATCAGCATTTATTGCCTGTCAATGTGAATTCATTGTTGTGCCTACGGGATACCTTTAAGTACCGAAAGTTGATAAGTGATTGTGTTTGGCCAGACCAGTTGGTTGTTTGTACTGGTGTTGACAGTCCGCTAAATATCATCGAACGTGCGGGAATGTCGAACTATTTTTCCCACCTACAACAAGCTGCATTGGCAAATAAATTATATGCACTCACTCACTCACTTACGCACGATAACCTGCCCAACTCTATGCACCACCAAAATCGATCGCATCAATAAATTATCAGCACAAGATACTGCTGCTACCGTGCATTTAGAACCCACAAATGTCTTTGTTCGCGCTGCCACCGAAGCGTTCCGGGCTCCACACGTGTGTGTGTGTGTGTGTGTGTGTGTGTGTGCGGAGCGCACTAACACTCTCAATCACTGTTGTCCCAGTCTAACACACTTGAAGAAAAGGCACATCAAGTTGACCGAAAACCATTCAACCAGTGGAAAGAATGGATGTTGGTTTTGTATCACGAAATTCATCTGTGGGTTTTTGGTGCATGAGAACAACAATAACTGGTTGTGGTATCACAAACTCACTCAGAAGTTGTATCACTCCATTCTGACTTTCGATTTTCAAATGCAACTTGCCTGACAAGAAGAGGAGAAGAATGAGATAATGGAGGAGGTGAACCAATTGATTATGTGCGAACACAGTAAACGAGCAGACTAGTGTTCCTTTCAACGAGTGACAACTGGTGCTAGTTGAGTGGAATTTTAATGCAACAGGCCTTGTGCTTGATGAAGCTTTCAATGAATTTGACTCTGTGATTATGGCAATAAAATGAGCGATTGTCTGGGAAAAATGGAAAACTGGTAACTTATTTAGTATGATAGCATAAGTCAATAATCAAAACTTGCAATTGTTTCGTCTCACGGAACGCAGTCGCAAATAAAAATTCAGATTTCTCAAATAAATCCCAACCAAATACTGCGCGTTTGGGATGTTTAATTTATAGTGCATAAGAGTATTTGGAAAAAGCATGAGTAATTTTAAAACAATGACAATACAAATCATCCATGCATCGAGAGTACCATAAATGATATTTAGTGCTCATTTGGTTAAATATCCGCGGTTGAGCAAAAAAGGCGGGATTCGCCAAACCGACAGGGGAACCAATAGATAAACTCTTCGACCGTAGCCGACCCTGTCGGTTTTCCCGATTCAGCGATGCAGCTTCGTGACAAAACGATTACCACATTTTATAATGTGCATTTAGCGGTCAATTTTGACGTAGTTCGCAAACGTAACAGTGTTCTTGTCACGACATGGAGCTCTACGTGCTCTTAAAGACTTTGTTTTGCATCTGCATACATTACAATACCAACTACGGGGTTGGGTGGGAACCGATGAAAGTGTAAAACTTTAAGTTATTGAATTAATTTGGATTCTTGATGAGATTTTCTTTTTACTTTCTTTTACTAAAAGTATTTTGCGATAAAAGTAACTTTATGGTAAGGACAGTTGGTCAATCAAATGGTTGCATGTATGGAAACACTGGGTTCGATGTGTGAGGTGGGATTCGAGCTGCCCTCGTCCGGGGCGATAAACGTTTGACCTAAATCAACTGAAAATAACCTGTAGGTGTCTACAACAATCAAAAAGTACAAAGTACAAATCTAGAAGTTATGGAATACTTAACTTTAAGCAAGAAAGGAATCGATTTTCGACCAAAAGTGGTTTGAGTGGAAACAATCTCGATAGTTGTGTCTTCGTCCCACAATGAGAAATTCATAATTACCATCTGACAAAAGTTGTTCTTGAAAAGAAAACTTCAAACAGCAAGGAAATTCTCAAAGATCGATCGCGTCAGTTTCTGAGAGTATTTATTGCGGCAACATTCACAAACATTTGCACTTCTCTATCCCATGCTCATGATCAATTTTCGTGTTTATGATTCCTCCTCTTCTGCCTCCAAGTCCCCCTCATCATCCAGGTCAGCAACTCCTTTATTGTGTGAGACAAATGGAGAAATAACTTACAGTGCCAGTCCGATAATGACACTTATTTGGTAGGATTCTCCAGAAATGAAAACAAAAAACTACCACTACATCCGAGTACCGGGTGCTGGGCAAAATCTCTCTCACACACATACACACGGTGAATCTTCTATGGGACAACCATTATTTTCCCGTGCGATTGGAGATAAGCGAGGGAGAGAGAGATGGAGAAAAAGTACTTTCAGCGTGGGAAACTACACAGTTTCGAAGGTCACGCACACACACACACACACACACGCACAGATGCATGCGACATGGATGCGTTGGATGTAGTTGCTCTCGTTCGTGCCCGTAGGTGCGCACGTGCGCACTTGTGCGTGTGTGCGCTTGTTTGCACATACGCAATCGAGCCAAAACTGGGAAATCACTGGTCTGACAACGACGAGCAAAGTTAAGAGCGCAGATAATTGATTACATCACGTCCGAAGGGCCACGCACGCAACGAAGGGATAACTACTACACGTCTGGGTTGGTTGTACATGACGATGGAACATTTTGGTTGCAGTTTTGATGCCAACCGTTTAGGACCATTTTGACCATTTTGGAGTGAAGGGGGTGGGGGTAAGAAAATCTCATGGTGGGGTCCAATGGAATGAACAAGGCATTTTATGACTCGTGTCATACAATAGACCGAATAATTGAATTGACTTGAACAGTCGAACCTGGATTATTCTTGGAAAGCCGGACAAAAATGTCCACCATAAATAGGATTTTCCCGGATGGTTTTACAAGACGTCCCGGGGATAAGGTATGTGGTTCAAATTGTATTTATCAGGTTTGTGTCAGCCTGGGAGAAAAGCTCACCGATTAGAAATTTTTAGCCAGCGGTAAATCGACTACAGAGTTGTCCGATTCTTTTCTATTCTGCTTGGTTATTGCATGATTCCATAGTTGCACTAAATGAAAAGATGATGGAGTGATTAATGAGCATCAAGATGTCATGTAAACGGCAACACGTAGTTCCCATTATGAAGCCGCGTATACGTAACAAATGATTTTCA